TAAATCAAAATTAATGAATTTGTTATTAATTCGATCTAAAATATAATCTATAATGTTTAAATTATTTTTAATATTATAGATTATATTTTTTACAGCGCGCCTTAAATATTTAATTTAATTCTTCTTGAGATTATTAATATTTATTAATCTAATTATATTTAAATTTTTAATGAAATTTTTATATTTGATATTTTAATTTCACATTTTAATGTTATGCAATTTATTATATTAATTTATTTTAGTGAATAAATTTACGTTTTTTATGTATATGATTTTATTGATATATTCTCATTTTAATTTATTCGCCTCTGTACGATACAAATTTAATAACAAATTTAATAACAAATTGTTACAAAATATTATAAATTTAATTATATATTACGAATATATTACAAATTTGCTTAATAAATCTACACTTATCACTTTAATTTAACAAAATGTAATATTCTGCAAATTACTTATTTTATTAAAGTCGCCATTTCACAACAAATCAATTGAAATCAATTGGTTTTTAACAAACGTAATATTTACTTACTTCTGTTATCTTAAAAGAATAACACCACCGATGTTCGTTAGCACAAACGATTTCGCTGACAATGAGTAAAAGACAAGTTGACTCATGTATTAAAGTGCCATACTGTCACACTGCTTACATTATATGAACAGAATACTGTTCAAACGTTTATACATATAGTACTGACACAAACTGATAAGATTTTCCAACGTATCTGATATAGTAATTTTTATAATTAGTAGTACGTGTACACAAAATTTCTTGTAATTGTATTAAAATTTATAAGTTAGTTAATTATAAATTTAAGATTCAAGAATCACAAAATATTCATTATTTCTTCTAATTTATTTATTAATTAATTTTTAATAAATCGTGGTGTATTCATAATAATAATGTAAAAACTAAACATTTTCAAAAAATAAAGAAAATAATTAATCGTCTTTAATTAAAAAATTAATCCAACTTTGAATGTAATTAATTTTGGTAATAATTAAAATATGTCGTAAAATTATAGTTATAAAATTGTAACATTTATTATTCATTTTTCAAATAATACAAAACGAAATGTTAAAGATACAGTTAAAAAAAACATTTATTATTTTGATTTAACAAATTTAACAAATAAGCAAGACTTTTTAATGTTTCAAAATGCTTTTAAAAAAAAAATTAGTTTGATAATAATTTTTTATGCAAAAATATCAAATTTTCATTGTTTTTTATATTTACATATTATGTATATGCATATTTTCTTTCTCCCCCCTCTCCCCCCTCTTTTTCTTCTCCTTTCTACCTTCCCTCCCACCCTCTCTCTCTCCCTCCCTATCTCTCTCTCTCTCTCTCTCTCTCTCTCTCTCTCTCTCTCTCTCTCTCTCTATATTCTTAATCCATAATTTGTGAATGAAATATACAAACACGCAGCATAATGTTATAATTTTATTGGCAAAATGTAGCTTCATTCATAATTTGTAGGAGGACTCGCACCATTTTCAACGTTATATCTGCTATGATTTTATCGACAGTGTCGAAATATGGATGTATAAGCTACGTAGCAAAAAGAAATCTGAGAGAGGATGTGAGGACTTTTTTATCGCAATATGTCACAGCGTATTATTGCCCTCTGAAGAAGTGAATGTAAACTACACAATAATATCCACGTTTATAGTGCTAGATGAAAATAAATTGTTGAAATTGCTAAAATAACTAAAATCTATCAAATTAATAAAGAGATTCAGGTTTCTCTCCGTTTGTATTCATAATCAGAGCTTATATTATTTAAGATCGTTTTAATCTTAAGATGTTACGAACCAATAAGAAAGCACGTATTAACATCTTAAGACATTACGTTATATTAAGATGGTCTTGAAATAAGAACCGACTATGAATATCGGCCTTAATCCTGAACGATGAGAGATAAGCGACATCCAATAAGAATCCTCTTTGTATAAGTACATACAAAAAAGCAGAACTTTTACGATTCAAAGCCGATATGTAATGTAAGAAATTAATTTGTTAATATCTTTAAAATATCTAATTTTAATTATATTTGTTGCAGCAATACTGCTGAAAATTCTGTGCTATATGGATCTTTACGTTTTTATTTAATAATCGTTTAATGATACAACATTTATTAAACGAAAATTTTCAATTTCGCATCTCCTACTGTAAAAATAAAAATTGTTGAATTTTAAGAAACTCGAAATTGAATATTCAAATAAGTTAATTTAGCGAATTTTGTCTTATAATGTGTGACTGCATAAAAATGAAATTACAATCTATGTTTTTTATGCAGATTTTCAGTCCGTTTTTACGAAATAATTAGTAGTAAATTACTATGTAAATATAAAGTTTTTATAATTATTAGCAAAAAATTATAGAGACTTTGAATATACTTTAAACTTTTCCAATTATCATTAAAGTTTAATTAAGCAAAAACGAGCTAGAGGCCCTCCGCCATCGATTTTGGCGATTCTCTTTTCTTTGTAAGTATACTCACACGTAAAAAAAACGAATTTTTAATAAATTTAGTAATTTGTTTTTACAGGTAAATATATTTTAAATTTATATTTTATTTTTATGTTTAATTATTTTATTGTATTTCGCTAATCATATTGCATAATTTTTTTAATATTATCTTTTATTGTAATCCTTTATACATTTAATAATACAATAAGAATTATTTACAATACAATTATAATTAAAAATGCTGTTCGAAATATAAAAATTATATCATATTAGCATAATTTTTAAAATTTAGTAATGTAAGATTATATTATAGAAAACATCAAAAATACATACAATAACACAAATTTTCTAAGCCAAAATATTGACAAAAGCGAAATGAAATACTAACAATTAGATCGTATTTATTATTAAGTATTAACTTGCGATTAAACTTTATATATTTATAAAACTTATTAATATCGCGTTCAAGATAACTATCTTAATAATTTGATTACACATACACCCTCCGCTTTGCGGTACATTCATTAATATCTAATATAAAATATAAAGAAGAATTTTCATAGTGGAGAATTTAATATATTTTGATTCTACGTCAAATTCAAGATCCATTCGCAAAAAAAAGTTAAGCAATTCGTCAAACACCAGCGGTCTTGTTACAGGAGAATGTGAATCCCGAATCTTTCAGATCACTTATGATAGTAATAATTTTAGATATCAAATTTTTATTGCATCTTCAATATATATTAAAATTCACGAGAAAATATGTTCTGCCACACATTACTAAAAATTATCGCTTATTAAAAATAAATGAATAGCATGATTTCCTTATGGAATAGTGATTATGAAGGAATATATTTAATAATAATAAAATACATTGTTATTGTAATTTTTTATTTATTATATATGTAGGTACAAAAATTTTTTGGATTCTAATTGTTCAAAATGAATCGAATCTGGTAATAATGGGATTTTAAAGAACTACACTGAAAAATTTATTATATAAAATTTAACAATAATTATTTTTCTGTATTTTCCAAAAATATTAATTATTAATATCCTGCTAATATGAGAGTATCCATTCGATTTATTTCAAA